TTTCTCAGGATGGCCCCTGTCAATCCTGAAAGCATTTATTGACATAAAATGTTGGGATTTTTTTCAGCAAACACTTTAGTTGATGCCATCTTCAGAACCCAAATTATTAGTTACAATTGGCATTTTTTCCATTTTTGTGGCAGAGAGAGAGATTGTGTGCATGTATGTGGATCAAGACAGCCAGACATTCCCAAAATGATTCAACCATTTCCTACCCTGACAAAATCAAATAGAGGCTTGAAGCTACAACCTAAATAAATCAGATCAAAGAAGCTGCTGATGGCTTGGAAGAAAGACAGATAAGTTATCCTAACTGTCTCCGTATCCTATATCTGCCAGACCATTACTGATATTATGGCATTGTATAGATTTTGAAAATGTTTTCTTTGCACAAAGAAAGGGTCCACGTGGGCACCGGTTTTCACAGACACTAGCCTCTCCTCCAAACAGATGCTCTGCAATTATGACTTTTAAGGTTGGGAAGTATGCTTCTCATTTTGTCAGGATTCAGAGAAACAAGTTTAGAAAATGCTTTTTGTCCCATTTACCTCCATCCTAACAGTAATTAGTAAGGACTGCATGTTCAGAGTATTTCCTTGTTTGACACTCCCCCCATCCCCTTATGCCCCTTCATTCCATGAGAAATATAGGGCTTCTCGCCATCATATTTCTACTTTGTATTTACAAAGGAGGAATGAACTAGCTGTAGTCAAATAAAGCCTGAGCATCTCTTGACATTCTTTTTCCTGTTCTGGTGTTTCATATTGACATATTATGGCACCTGGGAATAATGTGGAACAACCTCACTGGTTTTTCTTATCATCATTGTTATTTAATGTTTGTTTAGCACCCACGTGTGTTGTACAGGTTGGGCCATCTCGTTGCCTCTCAGCCCAGTCTACTGTGAGCTAAGGGAATTAGCTAATTCACTTCCCTAGAGACCGGTGATGAATAACTAAGGAAGAGCTGAGCAAATAGCAAATGTAGGTCGTCCCTGTCAGGGCAGAATGGTGGCATCTTTCTTCTGTTGCCAGGAGCAAGATGGCCCTAGAGCCACACCATGCAAGGAAGGCATGGTGGCTGTGGAGCTGAGTTTTCTGTTACTGAGTAGAAGAATCTAGACTTTTAGGGACTAATCGTGTTGCTTCATGATGTCTGGATTCTTCTGGTCAAACAGGAGAACAAAAATGCCTTCTCCTTTTGTTTTTGTTTTCCTTATTTAAAAGAAGCAACATGACATTATGGTAATACTAATGCTAATAAGAGATAGCAGTATAAAATAGTAGTACCTTAAGGTTTACAAAACATATTACATATATTCTCTCATTGCATCTTATTTTAATAGAGGTCGTTAGTTGTCTATATATAAACATACAGATGAGTGTATGTATATGCTGCCTTATAAAGTCACTCTATGTCTGTCTTTATTTTTTTTGTTTTTGGGGGGTTTTTTAGGCAATTGGGGTTAAGTGATTTGCCCAGGGTCACAAGGCTAGTAAGTGTTAAGTGTTCGGTCTGAGGCCACATTTGAACTCAGGTCCTCCTGATTTCAGGGCTGGTGCTCTATCCACTGCGCCACCTAGCTACCCCTGTCTGTCTTTATTTAGTCTGTCCATATAGGTCCATATGTCTGCCTTTATGTATATATATTTGTGTCTCTATACTTGTCTATATGTGTGTATATACATATATACATACATGTGTATATGTTGCTTAAAAATAAAGTTCATCAAAGTTTTGTAAAAATGAATGCAAAGTAATTGAAAAAAAATAAAATACTATTAAAACTGTGGTATTAAGAAGTAAAGACGATCCATCAGAAAAAACATACAAATAAATAAATAAATGAAGTTCAGATTTTCCTGCCTGGCTTTAAACTCTAAGTACTCTGCCTTTCAAGCTTTATCTCATATAACTCATCCCAAACACATTTACTCCAACAGAACCAGGCAGTTCCATGGCTGCTGAACACCCTGCCCCCTTGGCTTTGTTTGCTCACGCCCTCCCCCTTTGCCTAGTATGCCTTCCCTCTCCCTCTTTGCCTGTTGAATTCCTACATGCCCTTTGGAGTCCAGCTTAAGTATCACTTCCGGGATGATGCAGGGAAACCTTCTGTGATCTGCCAGCAGGAAATGATCTCTCTGTCCCCTGTGTGTTTGATCACTGTGGAATGAATGTGTGTGTGAGGATGTATATGTGTTTCTTCATCTAAGATGGGTTTCCTCATCTAAGACTCTGCAGTCACAAAGTTACAAAATATCATCCAGTCCAACCTCTTCATTTTATAGGTTGAGAAAACTAAAGTACATAGAGGTTAAATGATTTTTCAAGGTCATGGAATAAAATACTATAAAACATAATTCTGGAACCTAGACCTCCTAATTCTAAGCTCCAGTATACAAACCAGAAAGGCTTCTGGGTATTACATAATTCTGTACTTCCATATCAGTAACATCAATCAAATACCATGAGGTTACATAATTGGGTATTTATTATTTGAATGATTATTCTCTAAGTTGTCAAGACAATGACATTGCATATATTGGGGAAACAGGTTATGTGGGTCATAATTTACGGACTCTTTATGAAGTTTGCATGGCACATACCACTCTTCCTTCCATCATTTAGAGAAATCAGACAATTCACCTTACTTCAATTTGTTTGTTTCTTTATTTATAATGGTTTGTTGACGCTTTTTGGATTTTATAGCCCAACCATTTCCTGATAGAATAATAATGATAACTAATATTTGCATAATGCCTACTATGTGCCAAGCACCATACTAAATACAAATCTTTTCTCATTTGATACTCACAACCACCCTGGGTGATAGGTACCATTATTGTCCCCATTTTCCCAGTGAGAAAACTAGGACAAACAGAGCTTAAGTGACTTACCCAGGGTCACACAGCTAGTGAGTATCTGAGGGCAAACTTGAACTGAGGTCTTCTTGACTCTAGACTCAGGACTTTTTCCACTGTGCCACCTAATTGCCCCTTGAACCCTCATTATAACAAGGAAAAACATGTAAAACCGACCAACAAAGCCAGCCCATCTGACAGCCTAAGCAATACTCTGCCCCATAGCCTCCCAACTCTGTCTAGAAGGGAGTGTAGTGTTTCATCATCTGTTTTCTGGAACCAAGATTGATCATTGCAATTAATCTGAATTCGATTGCTATTTTACATTGTTTTCATTCATATGATTGTAACCATTGTGTATAGTTATCCTGGTTCTGCTTTCTTCACTTTGAATCAGTTCATGCAAGTCTTCCTAGGTTAAGCTGATGCCTTCCTCATGCTGATTCTTTCTTATGATAAAGTGATATCTCATTACAATCATGTACCACAATTTGTCCAACCATTCCCCAATGAACAAAATATTTGTTTTCTCTCTCTCTCTCTCTCCCTCCATATATATGTATGTATGTTAATAGTTTACATTTGTTTTGAAAATTTATTTCTTTTGATCACTCTTCGATTGAAAACTTAATATTAGTTTTATATATTTGTTTCAATTCTTTATCCTTGCTAGATATCAGACTTTTGCCAAAGGTATTTGATGCAAAGATTTTTATTTTCCAGTATTCTTATTCTTGTTGAATTCATTTTGTTTGTGCAAAAGTTTTTAATTTTCTGTAATAAAAATGGTTTCTTCTCTTTTTTTCTGATCCACCTCTCTTTCTTGTTTGCTTAAGGATTCTCCTCTTGATCATAGATCTAACAGTTAACTTTCCATTATCTTCTAAAATTTATCATGATATGACCTGTTATATTGAAGTCATATTCACTATTTGGAGTTTATTGTAACATGTGATGCAAGATGCTATTCTAAACCGCTGTTGAGTTTTCCCAATGTTTCTTATTGAACAGTTAACTATTTTTGGATTTACTAACACTGAGATACTTTAGTTTATTCAGTTGTTTCTGGGTTTGTTTCACTGATTCACTCTTCTACTTTTTAGCTGGTCTCAGTGGTTATTGCTTTATATTTAGTTTGAAATCAGGGACTATTAGGGACCCTCCATTACTGCCTTCATTATTTTCCTGGATTCTTGATTTTTTGTCCTTCCAAATGAATTATATTGTTATTTTTCCTAGTTCTATAAAGTAAGCCTTTGGCAGTTTGATTGGCAGCACTAAATCACCATTTCTACTAAATTGGCACAACCTAATCATGAGTAATGAGTCTCTCTGGTTATTTAATTGTATTATTTACCTTTCTTGCATTATCTCATACTACTACTTCCAAGCATTCTGTACCTCCAGCAAACCTAGACAAATCATTTAAACTGCAGATGAATGCCTCTCATCCCCTGAGGTAAATTAGACTAACAAAAGTCTTTGTTTTTGTATAGTATTTACATTTAGATCATCTTCTCTGGTCCTTACAGAGTAAGGCCCTATAGAGTATCCAGGGTAGGTATTAGAATCTCTATTTTACAGGTAAGAATTGTAAAGCCCAAAGTGCTTAAGCACAGTGCTTGGCACATAGTAGGTGCTGTAGAAATGCTTATTCCCTTCCTTTCTCCTTCCAAGAGAAGATACGTGATTTTCCCCAATGGTACACATTTAGTAATAAGCATGGATGAGATTTAAACCTAGGTCCTCTGACTCCCATGTTTACTGCTTATCCCAACTCCGCCACTAACTAGCTGTGTCACCTGGGAAAAGTCATTTAACTTGTCTGTGCCTCAGTTTTGTCACCTGTTAAATGGGATAGACTAGCTCATCACAAGGTTCTCAGTTCCAAAATTCTAAATTTCTGTGAAGAAAAAGGTCTTTGCAAAAGCAACATATAAAAAAGAGCAAATGAACTTGGCTACCAAAAGGTCAAAACCCTCCCCCCTCACCTCTCATTCTACTCTACTTGTCCCCACCCACCCCCCCAAAAAAACTTATGCTATTTGGGGTAATAACTGGAGATAAAACATTAGAAAACACAGTCTCTGAGTATGCACAGTTGTGTTCATGGAATGTCCTGGTCTTTTGTTTCCCCAGGCTATCAATGTACCTGTCTCTCACAATTCACTGGAAGGAACTGTGAGTCAGAGATTACAGCCTGCTTCCCAAATCCCTGCCGAAATGGGGGGTCTTGCGACCCAATAGGAAACACCTTCATCTGCAGTTGTAAAGTTGGGCTTACTGGAGTCACGTAAGTGAATCATCCTTGGTCCGGCTGCTGTCAGCTATTTAGATGCTAGGACATGCCTCAGGAAAGCCTGCCGTCTAATTCTCTAGGGCCTACAAATTGCTAGCTACAACAATAACCGTAGCAGGTAATTATATGGGACTGTAAGATTGGCAAGACCCTTTACATACCTGACCCCATTTGATTCTTGCAGCAATTCTGTGGGGCAGGTGGCTTGTCACTTAGCATCTGAGATCTCTAGCCCAAAACAATCATTCCTTATTCATTCATACTCCCACTTATTAGGACTTGGTGACCATTTGGATAAAAGCGAAAGTTGAGCTTAAATTATTTTTTCCAGAGATGGTACAAATGAATAACATGACCAGATTGAAATAGGATGCTCAAAATATTTGAGGCAGTGTGATGTAGTGGAAAGACCTCTGGATCTGCATCAGGAAACCTGATTCAAATCCAAGCTCTGACATTGTGTGTAACCATGGCGAGTTATTGCCATTCTCTTAGCCACAATGTATTCACTTCTAAAATGAAGATCACCACCTACCTTAGAAGTCTGTTATAAAGAAAGTGCCTTGTAAACCTTAAAGTTATATAAAAGTGTGAATTATTATTATCATTATTATTGTTATAAGTACAAACCACTTTGAAATCCCCTTCATCATTCTTAAGCATCCATGTATATATGGATTACTTATATTCTAATTATAAACCATTCTTTTCTAGTCATTACAACACACCCCCGAGGACATATACTAGATAGCTCTCTGTTGGCCTACTTTGAATTTCTATGTGTAATTTGCTGTGTATAATGTAATTAAAGCAATCAAATTATATTTCTTTTCATATTCTATGATTCCAATTCCTTACTAGTTCAGATTGGCCTTTCTTCCATGTGAACCCTGTTAGTAAAATTTCACTATATAACGTTGATTTTACCAAAAATCTTAGGAGATCACACCTTTCATATAAATACATAATAAAATGGAGGGAGAAGGCATGTATCCTGATAAACTAAAAAATGAGCAGTACACTTATCGGAATATGTATATATTCTATCTTCTAATTTATAAGTTCCTTGAAAGCAGGGACTGTTACCTTTCTGTCTTTAGATCCCTAGAGTCTAACATGGTGCCTTGCACCACATGATACATGCTTAATAAATGTTTGTTCAGTTTAATCATATGTTTGCTTAAGAATTATATCAAAGCAGGCATTAATATGGCCCAGATTACATGAAAAAGAAAAAAAATTCACACAATTACTTAAAAAAAAATTGTTTCCTTCAGAAATTTTCCTATCCTTTGAGTGTTTTGGGAAAGGGGGTTATTAAAGATGAGGGAGGGAGGTGACTTTAGTGTTTAAAACCTCTGATGTGTCTTAGTCCCCCATAGTCACTGTATTTGGTGGGGGGGGATTATTTTCTTATGTTCCTAAAGGTGTGAGGAAGACATCAATGAATGTGACAGAGAAGAATGTGAGAATGGAGGTTCCTGCGTCAATGTGTTTGGCTCTTTCCTCTGTAACTGCACCCCAGGTTATGTGGGCCAGTACTGTGGGCTCCGGCCAGTAGTGGTTCCCAACATCCAAGCTGGCCACTCCTATGTTGGAAAGGAAGAACTGATTGGCATTGCCGTGGTCCTCTTTGTCATCTTTGTTTTAATCGTCTTGTTCATCATCTTCCGCAAAAAAGTCTTCCGCAAGAACTATTCCAGGAACAATATCACTCTCGTCCAGGACCCGGCCACCGCAGCACTGCTAAACAAAAGCAACGGGATCCAGTTCAAGAACCTCCGAGGGGGTGGGGACAGCCGTAACATCTACCAGGAGGTTGGTCCGCCTCAGGTCCCCGTTCGCCCCATGGCCTACACGCCTTGTTTCCAGAGCGACTCTAGGAACAACCTAGACAAGATTGTGGATGGGCTTGGTGTGGAGCACCAGGAGATGACCACTTTTCATCCCGAGTCACCACGGATACTCACTGCCAGGCGTGGAGTGGTCGTGTGCAGCGTGGCTCCCAACCTCCCAGCCGTCTCCCCTTGTCGTTCTGATTGTGATTCCATCAGGAAGAGTGTCTGGGATGCAGGAACAGAGAGTGAGTGGGAACTGGTGGTGGTGTGTGTGGTGGGCAGCTTCCTTCCAAATCCCAGAATCACAAGAGAAGGGAGAACTTTAGAAAGCCCTCCGTCCCCATCCTTTCACAGGCAGTTGAGCCACTAAGAGGTTATCACACAGATAATAAATGACAAAGTCTAGATTTATGGTTCTAAGTCCAGAGTTGTTTTTTTGTTTTTTTGTTTTTTTCCTATTAGCACCAAGCTACCTCTGCCTTCTTTTAGCTTAAAAATTAACAAAAAGCTACATTTTGCACACTGAACATAATTTAATCTTTTCTTGGTGAAGCCTGATCATCATTATGATGCCATGGATGTGCCTGGGATACACATCCTCAGGGTCACTGATATGGGTCACAAACATTTAAATCCTTAAGGAGAGGGGCATAATCCATAGTCCAAGGGTTGAGCTGGTGTCTAGAATGTCATATTGGCTCTAATCAGGCATCCAGGTAAATGGACAATAAATCGGTCAGAAAGATGATTGAAGATAAACCTTGAGTCATAACATCGTTACAGTGGGTTTTCTTTTTCCCATAGAGGAGGCCCATTCTGATTCTGATTTCATGACTTATAACCAATTTTAAAGACAAATCACTGTAACAGTTTACTTGTTTTGCCTGCTGTAGATAGCATTTTCTTAACTGCGGGCCTGTGGTTCTCCATGCCACTGAAAAGTAAACCCTGTTGGCTCGTTGAGTTCTACCTTCATCCACGTGTGCTAGCTCCATGCTGCTATATTTGTTCCCCTGCTCAAATGTTTCTATTTTCCTTCTCTCTCAGATCAGGAAGTGGAACAGAGAGGCCAATAAGGATTTATTCTAATCCAATTCACTTTAATATTTATTAGGCACCTGCCATATATGTGCAAGGCATGGTGCTAGGTGCTTCTCAGTTCCGTGAGTTCAATTATCATCTCTATGCTGATAATTCTTAAATCTACTTATCCAGCTCCAACCTCTCTCTTGACCCTTAAGTTGTACATCTGTAACTGCCTAGTGGGCATCTTGAATCAGACTTCCCATAAATATTGAAAACTCACCATGTCCAAAACCAAACTCATTACTTTTCCCTCCAAAGCTTCCTGTCTCTCAACTTTCCTATTACTGTCCAGGGTACCACCATCTTCTTTGTTCCCCATGCTCACACCTAGGTGTCATCCTTGACTCCTTTCTCTCTCCACCCCCTATCCCACCATGTCCAATCTGTCATCATGGCTCATCAATCTTACCTTCTTAAAATCTCTCATATATGCCTTGTTCTGTGTTCTGACACTGCCACCACCCTGGCACAGCCCTTCAAGTTGCTACAAGTCTTTCCCCACCAGTCCATCCTCCACTAAACTGTAAAAATGATCTTCCAAAAGCACAGGTCTAACTCTATCACTCCCCTGCTCAGTAAACTCCATTGGCTCCCTATCACCTCCAGGATAAAATATAAAATCCTGTTTAGTACGCAAAACTATTCACAACCTGTCCACCCCGCCATCTTTCCAGTCTTCTTACAAGTTACCCCCCACTTTGGGTCAATGACACTGCCCTCTTTCCTGTTCCCCACAGAAGGTACTCCAACCTCACAATTCCAAGTGTTTCCTTTTTTGGGGGGAGGAGTTAATTTTTTAATTTTTTTTATTTTTCTCTCAATTATATGTAAACAAAAATTTTAACATTCTTTTTTTTAAATGTTGCGTTCCAAATTTTCTCCCTCTTCTCCCTTCTCCTTAATAAAACAGGCAATTTGATATAGATTATACATGTTCAGTCATGCAAAACATTTCCACATTAGCCATGTTGTAAAATAAAACATAGACAAAAAAATAATGAAGTTTTAAAAAGAAGTATGCTTCAATCTGCATTCAGACTCCGTCAGTTCTTTCTCTGGAGGTGGAGAGCTTTTTTCATCATAAGTCCTTAGGAATTGTCTACTCCAAGTGTTTTCAATGGCTGTCCCATGCCTGGAATTCCCTCCATACTCATCTTTACCTCCCAACTTCCCGGTCTTCCTTCAAGTCCTTGCTAAGATCCCACATTGAAACCATTCAAGATCCCCTTTAATACTAGTGCCTTCCTTCTGTTGAATATCTTTTATTGATCAGATAGATAGATAATCATATTTGTACATAGTTATTTGCATCCTATCTCCCTCATTAGACTGGGGCCTCTTGGAGGGCAGGAACTGTCTTTTGCCTTTCCTTGTATCAGAGCTTAGAACAGTACCTAGTGCATAGGAGGCTTGACTAACTTCTGGGAATTCAAAGGTAAATCTATGTAATCCCTTTCCTCAAGGATCTCGCAGTCTAAAAGTGGAACAATGCCCATATGTAAATAATAACAGTTTGATTTGTTGTACAGTTAGGTACATAAGAAAGGCAGGCATGCACAAAGGGCTATGGGAGGTTCAAAGCCAGAAAATGAGATGAGGTCAGGCTGCAGCACTGCGTTAAGCCATGACTTAAATCAGTCAGAACTGTGTTGTGTAGCACCAAGGCTGGTGTCATGGGTTATGAGGCTCCAAGAGTTTGTGTTAAATTAATTCAGTTTGGGGGTACAGGGGAACCTCCTATATTGTTATTTCTGCCACTAGACTGCACTGCCCTCACCCTCAGGGCTCATTGTGTTCCTCTTTATGCTAAAAGTAAACCTTGTATACAGCCTGCCCTTGTCAGAAACAAAGCTTAGGGGTTTTTTGGCTTTGTTTTGTTTTGTTTTTCCAAATATGACTTCCTCCCTGGTGTTTCTTTGCTTTTATATTTGTAATTAGTCCTACACCGCATCTTACTTGGGGTTGGTCTAATTGACAACAGATGCGGAAAAGCAGTGCCTTCTGTGGGGACGTAGCCCTTTCTGTCAGGAAACGCTAATTCCTGTGGCCAGGAAGAAGAGTGGCAATTGCTTTTATCACAAGCCTGTGTCTCTATGTACCGTTATATAGCACGGTGATTTAAATCTTTTTTCTGATGATCATTTCTTTTCCCTCTTTAATGTGACAGGTTTATTTCTGAAATACACCTCAGGCCAAAACTCAGATTTCCCCCCAAAGTATTGTTGAGTTTTTATTTAATGCATTGACTTCTTTGTTAAGGGTGGTAGAGTGTGCTGGGAAGACATTCTCTAAGTGGCCAATTCATTTTTCAGATGATGACAAGCTCAAGATATAGGTTGCTTTTATGGACTAATGTAGTCCATCAAATAAGAAAATGACCCTGTGGTGTTTGTGCATCTGTGTGCCCGGGATAAATTTGTACCTAAAGGAATAAGAGAATGTGGGGATCCAGAAAGCATTTCTACCCCAGGCTTTCCTTTTAACGGCCCAATTTTATGAGAATTCTATAATTACTAAATTTGGTGCTATGCTGCCCTCTAGAGGCCGAATTGAAAATCCCACTCTATCTGTTGATTGAAGTTTGAATAAATGTCATGGCACTCTTGCCTATAAAATATTTATACCCCCCATTTTAAAAGCAATCTTGTTTAACCTACTGTTGACACCACATCAGTTCGTGTAAATGATTTAAATGAACTCTGAATGGCAAAGAGCAAGCCAGCTGCTTTACTCCGGTTTCAGTCTTCACTTAACTATCCTACTTTAAGGACAGAACATCCACTTTTGGCTGTCAGCTATTTGGAAGCTCATTTACCCTGGGTTAAGGGTTGCAGATCCATAATGCAAATCACTTGATTGACAGACCTTTGTACCCAATGGCACAATCAATTTTCTCCTTTGGAATTAAATTATTTCTCTGACCAAATGAGAAAAGGAGAGGGGGGTTGGGAAAGAACCTGAAAAATAAAAATGAGCTCTGGGAGTGGCAGGAATGGATATATGCACAAAATGAGCCTTTGCCCTTTTTGTTTTATCTTTTCCTGTCAACGAAGACAAAGGAGTGGATGATGCCGAAGAAGTGACCTGTTTTGTGGGAAGTAATAAAGGCAGCAACTCGGAAGTTCAGTCCCTCAGCTCCTTCCAGTCTGACTCTGGAGATGATAATGGTAAGAAATCTTCAAATTCAGTTCTTGGAACTCTAGGAGAATAGGTTTTAACCCTGCAGGTGTCCTCTAGATCTCCACCAATGGACTTCCTCTTGGGGGAAGAGGGGTCTGCCTCCTTGGTATTTAGTGAGTAAGCCTTCTTGGATAGGATCCAAAATGGACCTGCCTTCTGGCACATTATCCTCTTTACTAGGTAGTGGAATTGGCTTTCTTCTTCTTTTATTGTTATGATCTTCCCCCTTCACCATGCATTTTGCCTTCTTTGTTTAGTTTCATTCTTAATCAAAGCCTACTTACCATGATCCCCTTGAAGATGGGCTTTTCTGTAGTGAGAAACCTATTTATTTGATAACTGGGCCAAGACCATCTCCACATTCCACACAGACTCCCAAGATACCATCAACTGGAGAAGTACTAATTTAGACAAATTGATTTCAATTCAGTGACTATTGAGGTCTTCCTACATGAATATTCCTCCTAGATATAAAGACAAAAGATAAATAGAACATAGCTCCTGCCCTCAGGGAGAAAGTTGGGGGACGTGAGAGCCATACAGACAAACATAATATGAAGTATAACATACAGGTCCATGAGAAGAGTATATACAAAATAGCACCAGAGTTCAAAAGAAGGAGCTCTCTCATATCACCAAAGGGATAGGTTCCCTGAGCTGTGTGAAGGATGGTAGAGACTTGGAAAACATGTTTTGTTTTCTTCCCCATGGAAAGACAAAAGTGGGGTGAGATAAGACCTCATAAAAGCATTTATTAGAAGGAATTTGTTCTTTGTCTTTCCAATAGGGAAGCTGGAGGGAAAGAAAATACTTCTTTCTTGTTCATTGAAAAAAATAAAATTAAAAAATATTTCACAAAAGCATTTTACCATATGGTAATTAGATTGAGATCACGCAAAAGGGGCTTGGAATGTTCTTCTCCAGCTAATATACCACTTCTCCAGTGACCATAGATCTGTAGAGACAGCATATTCAACATGATGAACTCATATTGAGACAAGAAGTATGTTTCCCCAGGCCTTAGGATAAGCTGAAAGTCTAAAAACCCAACTCAGACGTTCAATAGCAGCCCAGCTGCTGCCATTAGAAGGGTGTGCCCAACATGACTAATATGGTAATATGTTCTGTATGATTGAGCATGTATAACCTATAACAAATTGCTTGCCGTAACAGGGAAGGGGAAGTTAATGAAGGGAAAGAGAAAATTTGGAACACAAAATTTTTAAAAAATGAATGTTAATGATCATTACACGTAATTGAGGAAAAAATAAAACATTATTTAAAAAAGAAGTGTGTCTCATGTGACACTACAGCTTGAGAACTATGTAGAAACCCCCGAGGTACTTGAGTTCCTGTGACAAGTTGTGTTATCATGGGGCACTTGCTCTTAGGTAGGCACAATGAGTCATAGCCAAGCTTGGTTTTTTATGGGTTTAAGCACCTTCCCTGGCTTAAATGATTAAATGAATGGCAAAGAGTAAGCCAGCTGCTTTACTCCAGTCTCACTCTTCACTTAGCTGTACTACTTTGAGGATAGAGCATCCATTTTTGGCTGCCAGAAATTTCATCACCCCAGCTGTAAGAAAAGGATGTTTTATGGAATATCTAGGACTAATTCTAGAATTGATACTCTACGCACCACTACTGTTAAGAACATCCCAATGGCATTTGGGATGCCATTAACAGTCCCCACCCCCCACCATCCCTACCCAGCCAGTAATTTTCAGGATAACTTGCAGCTTACAAGCAGTTCATAATAGGATGCTTGACCATCTGAACCCCATTGAATAAAAAAGACAACTATGCTTAAGAAAGAGAAAGGTATTCCATGAGGAGGGGATATCAGTTCTGATGCTGCTCCTGAATGGTCTAAATAGTCAAAGTATCTTTTTCTCAATGCTGAGGTGATAAGGGTGGCCAGGATGGTGCTTACTTAAACCCAACAATTTGGAATGAAGAAGGGCCAACTCCTTTAACAGAAAGTCACCTCAATCTAGTCACATGACTAATTGCTACCCACTTTCCAGAGCTGGTTGTTTTGGTTAGACAAACGAGGAAGGAGTGAGTTATCGTCATCCTGCCTCCCATGCTAAATAGCTAGAAGGTAACATCCAAGGATAGCTAAGCATGCAACCTCCTTATACCACCCCTGGCTTGGCTCAGCCAGGCAAAGAAAATATGGCCATCTCTACACGATACATTTAGTCTCTCAAAATAAACATTCTCATTTCATTCTGAATTCTGTAAGGTACTGTACCGTAGAGTTTTGGGGAAATGGACTCTAAACTTAGTCATATCAACAGAAAGCACTTGTGATAACTATAAACCATAGCTATTTCCTTCCCTGATTCTAATCATTATAAAGGCCAAACATCTCCAGTCATTGTCACAGAAGGTACTGGCATATGAGCAAAGCAGTTGACTTTAAGAAATTAAGCCTCCTTCCTAAGTATCTTGACTGATTCAGATAGGACCACCTAACAAATAATTGCCTTCTTCCAGAATTCATTAGAGTTACTGAAGAGGAATTAGTATGAAGTAGGAGAGGTATTAGCTTCTCATATTTATTTAGAAAAATAAATAAATGTAAATTCACAACATGTATTCACTTGTGAATGAGAGCAGACAGTATGGTGTAGTGAGAACTGACCCTGGGCAAGTCACTTCATTTCTTGGTGCCCCAGAAAACTCTAAAACTATAAATTGAAAAGTATTTTTGCATCTACAATGGTCAAGAGTGTTTCCTTACTAAAAGTTCCCTACCGTGACAAAGTCATAGAGCTTGTACAAAAGGAAAGTCATTGGTTATTGGGCCTTTTGGTAGGTTTAAACTGGCCTAGAGTTTGTCATTATTTTCCATTCAATCTAAAAATTGGTGTTACCCAAAATAAGGTGTACATTGAAACACTGCCTTAATGAATTGTGTAGAACCTTTGATTTTGTTTGTATAGTATAATATAATAAAATGTGAATATATATGTATATTGGTTAAGAAAGTAATACATGTTTAAAATATTAACCTAAAACTATCCTTTCCCTCCCTTGTCTGCTTTCCCTCTCCTGCAAGCTTCCATAGTGACTGTCATTCAGCTTGTCAACAATGTAGTTGACACTATAGAAAATGAAGGTATTTACATTTTTTTCTGTAACATTTCTTCTTTATCAAGTTACGTTTCTTTCAAATTTATTAACCCCTCATTACTTTGGATCAGACCCAATGTCACTGGTTAAGGACAGAATGAGGCATCAGGGAGCATTGGCTCCAAGGGCTCATTAGTTTCATGCCATTCATTGGTATTGACTTTTTAAAAGCATTCCTTCAGGACAATTTTTAAGTGCTTTTCAAAAGAAAGTGAAGTTTGTGACCTGAAATATTCTCTATGTTCCCTACATATGAGTAAAACTTTCTTTGAAAAGAACACCTCATCAGTGTGATTCTGCATTTATGTTTAAACCCTGGGACCAAACAGTAAAGTTTCCAATACTTCATACTGTTGGAGTATGCCTATAGTAAACTTTAGGGATGCGACATGGTTTTTGTTTCTTTTTCTTAAAGTCAGTCAGTGATTTGTGATGCCTTTAATAAAAATTAAGTTAGTAAATTAGTTGTTTACTTTCTCACTTTGAATATTGTTGAAAAAGAGCTGGTCTCAGAGTCTGATAGAAACCGGGCCTCAAAACCAGTAAGACCTGGGTAAAGTCCTGCCTCTGATACGTACTGGCTGCGTGCTATAGACAGGTCTTGAAGACTCTAAGTTACAGAGTTTGCATTAGTATAGAGAGTTACCTTACCAGTAGTTCCCCAAACCAATGAAATCACAGGCCCAGACCAAAGTGCAAAATTTGGGACAATTACCTCAAAAAAGTGAATGGTAAAGTGGGAATTAGCAGAATTCCCCTTTCCCCCAGGAAAGTTGGTTGAAAGCGTACTTATCTGTTTCAGGGACTCATCCCCTAGGTGTAATGGGAGGGAATAGCCTTTACAGGGAGTTCTTCATGCCCTTCAGGCCTGGGTACTGGGGAACACCATCTCTCTTGTTTGTTGCATAGCAGTGAAAAGCAAAGCTGCAGCCCACTAGAGCCCCTCTGTGTTGTTGAAGCACATCCCCTCTAAGTCTCCCAGTGCTTGTGTGGCTAGGGTTGTCAGCTTCACTCTTTGCTTTGTATTTAAACAGTGTCAGTTATGGACCAAGGACAGAACTACAATCGAGGTGACTCTCCCTAGACCCCAGCTCACCCCTCTGTTCCGTGATCTTGTTTTGCTGCCTCTCTTCTCCTCCTTCTTCCCCCTCTACCCTTTCTGGGTGTTTCGTCAGCAATCTGCATGTTCCAGGCACTACGTGGGTTAAGTTTTGAGAGGACCTCCCCCCACCAGCATCTCCTTCCGGGTCCCTCTACCATGGCACGGCCTAAGCCGTCCATTTTCCTCTGCGTCTCCTTGCCTTCCAATCCCAAAACACGGTCCCCTCGAGCCTGCCTTTGCAAGCATGCTGAAAGCTTTGATTTCCACGTGATATGTGGGGGTAGAAAGAGGGATTTGGGAAGGGAGGTCTTTCATACAGTTTAGACTCCTAAAACTTTGTTTCTTCATCATCTTGTTCATGGTCTGGCTGAGTAGAAAAAGGGGAGCACATAATACACTTGAGCATCATCACATAAAGTGGCCGTCTGTCTTGTTCTCCGGTCAGAGCATGGCTGACCTTCCATTAATGCCTTGTAAACAGCATGCAGATGACACTGGCTTCAGGAGGCCTCCTGGGTGTGAAGGCGTGCATGTGACGCTCTTCCCACCTTGCTCCTACTCCTGCCCCAACTCACTGCCCAGACCCAAGGAGATTAACTAGGACCGGTTTCTCTTTCACAGCCTATCATTGGGACACTTCGGATTGGATGCCAGGAGCCCGCCTGTCTGACATCGAGGAAGTGCCCAACTATGAGAACACAGATGGCACGTCGGTGCATCAGGGGAGCACGAGAGAGCTTGAGACCGATTACTACCTAGGTGGCTATGATATCGATAGCGAATACCCTCCGCCTCACGAAGAGGAGTTTTTGAGTCAAGACCAGTTGCCCCCTCCTCTGCCGGAGGACTACCCAGAGCACTTTGAGGCCCTGCCCCCGTCACAGCCAGCCTCCTTGGCCAGCACACTGAGCCCAGACTGCAGGCGAAGGCCCCAGTTCCACCCCAGCCAGTATCTCCCTCCCCACCCATTCCCCAATGAGACAGACATGGTGGGACCTCCACCTGGACACGAATTTAGTACTTTTGCTGTGGGTGTGGGGCAGAACGTGGAGAACACAGGCGTGGCAGACAACATGTCCTTATCCTTGCACAATTCCATAGGCGCTTCATCCTCAGATGTGTCTGCAAGCTGTGGCTTTGACGATTCTGAAGTGGCCATGAGTGACTATGAAAGCGTTGAGGAGTTCACCAGTCTTCACACTCCATTTATTGAGACTCAGCACCAGACCCAGGTGTAAAGGACACGCACATCTGGGATGGTTTGTTCATTCTTCATTTCAACATGGAAGGAAATGGGCTGAGTTTCCTCTCTCAATGGAGAGGGGGTCCATCGAATGAGGGGAATATCCACCATTTTCCACAAATAACTTATTCACAAATGATGTTGTCTCATGCAAACACTTTAAAGTCAAGTTGTGTAAACCACATGTCACAAGATTTGTTACTGTGAGTCAACAGACAATCCTTACAGTATGTACCCAGCATTCATGGCCAAGAGTGCACACCACGTTTTTAAGGGGGTAAAGAACCCCACACACAAGTTCACCCAGTAAGTTATATGCAGTCAATCTTTTCAGCTTTGTGCAGTATTGTGTTATTGAAGGTGTTAACAGTATCATTCCCCGCAGTATTAATGAACAGATAAAGTTCAGGCACCAAGATATTGGTGCATGAAACTAATTTAAGCTGATGGAGAAAAGAAAGAAAATAGTTAATAGAATGGGGGATGGGGCTAAGCCCTCAAGGGTTTCAACAGAAGAAAGAACAAAAATAAAATCAGTCAAAAGTGGGCAAAAATATTAAAATAAAGTATGATTTTCTTTATAAAGCTGTCTCATTGTCAGCTATAAAATTAGAGTAAGTGACTTGTACTTTTTGTAGTTTTCAGATACTGGTTTAATTAGGAAAACTTGGATTAAAAACGGAGCCCAAAATTGAAATGATGGGGTTTGTGGATCTTTCAAAAAGATTTCAATGAAGAGTAATGCATGACAGTTTGGGGGTTTTCTGAGTATGAAGGAGGTAAGGGTAGAAGTTATATCTTTTTGCTTTTATTACTAAACATTCCCAGCAGTGATTACAATTTGAGAATTATTGTAATCAATGACCTTGTTCATGGAAACCAGGAAATAAAGCTGACCGGTTTGTGACTGTTGTCTGGGCTAAAAGAGGTATACAGTTCATAAATTTCCCCCAAAAAATGTTATTTTTACTATCACAGGTAAAAGGCAAGTAAGTACTTGTTTTTAACTTGATGGTATCATTTCAATAAATGGAATTGAGTCAAAGGAGAGAGACCAGATGAGTGGATGTTTGTACACAAGATTATAATAGTATGTGTGTTTGGGCCAATGTAGAGGTATGTATGTGTTTTCTCCCAAGAAGGCAGTCTGTGAGGAAAGTGATTTTGAGACTTGTGAACTACGAACCATGGCCAATGGTATGAGCCTTCTGACCTTTTGGACCTCTTCAATGTTAGAGACTCATTAAATGCTATATTTTGTGCTATTTCAGTTAATCTTATTTGGATAGCTCCATGTCTATTAAGAAAACAAAATTCTAGGTTTTAAAAGTAGCATTTTGTTTAAAAAAAAAATACAAAGAGCCTCAGTTGTCTTCAGAAAGTACTTCATGTTTCATTCTAGCCCAGAGTCAGTTCTCAGTCTGATGCACAGGTTTTGGCCATGGAAATTTCCTAAATGAAGTGGAGAGTCATTCCACAAGAGATGTTATAACATGGTACAATAAAATATAAAATTGACATGTTGAGTTACTTTCCTGCTTCCCCTCAGGCTGATTAGGACAAATGAGATTTTACACTAAGCAGCCTGAACTGTTTCCAAGGAGGACTGGGAAGTCCATGACTTCTTCTTTCCCTGGTAAACGTTTATTTGCACTATCTGCTTAATGAGCAAAACTGTTGTGGGTTTTGTTTTTTTTTTTAACCAGTTATGGCATTGGTGTGTGAGCTCTAGAGGACTTCGCCTGGCCATGGTCCACCCGGTCACTCTTCTTATCTGCATTCTTTCTATTCATTTCACTTCTCTCCTGGCACAGGGATCATTGTTTCCTGACAGTTTGTCAAGGCAATAACCTTGCACTTCAGAGCTTCCTGGATATGTGGACACACTTCATAGGCTTTCCATGTTTTATGTTGTTTTTTTCTCATCCTTGTTCTTGGTCAGACATGCTAAATGAAGGATAATCTGTACCGTGATCTTGAAATCAGGGTTCTGCGATGGATTTGAAGTACGTAACCAGACTGCATCCAAAGAAATTCTTAAGCATTTTTCTCATGCAAGGAATGCATTTGTAGGAATCGGCGAGAAAATGACAAACTAATGATTTGGATAGAACCTCTATAACCATCTTAATAATGCAGTGGCATAAAAAACTGACAAAGTAAAACCAACAGTTCATTTATTACCCCCCAGGATATATTAGGGCAGGATTAGTACAGATGATTTTCCATTGCTTACACAGCCTCTCTGCTGAGAGAAATGCTTGACTGACATAGTAATGAAGGAGCAAATAGATCTGTATGTGGAAGTGCAATCCAGGGAGCCAGCCTGATATCTCTGACCTGCATTCAATACACATTTCTTAGATATATCTCACCCCATCTTTTCAGAAAAGCCACAAAGGGATCCGTTCATCTCTCGTAGGTCCTCTCTCATGTCATGTATTGAAACATCATTTTCAGAACAGGTAAGAACATTATTTGACATTTCTTCTCAAAGTTGCATGGGAAATGAAGGGTTTCCCTATAGAGGGTGAAATAGTCTGAGAGTAGCACCAAGCTGGAACACACCAAATCTGGAAAGCTGAGAGGAAATTTAAAGATTGTCTCTAGGCCTACCTTCTCATTTTTATTTATAAAGTCACATTGCTTGGCCAGTTAGTGACAGAGCCAGGGCTAGAACTTGCATCTTCTTCCAAGTTTCCAATCCAGGGTTCTTTCCAGCATATCATACTTTCTCCGTGATCTCCCTGACCTTTAATCTTGATTTATTTCATTGAATTCCTGAAGAATGGATCTCTTGGTGCAGAAAGCTGTATTTGTTGCACAGAGGTTCATATTTTCATATGAGTTTTTTTCTTCAAGCCTAAATCTGTAAGTTTAGATAAACTCTGGTCTGCTACATATCTGATCATTATTGATGCTGCCTCAGTTAAGTGTTGAAAGTATATTATTAGCTCTTCTTACACCCTGAGACCCTAATATCTCAGGTGTATTTTATTTGCTAGGACACATCCAAAGCATTGTTTTAAGAAAAAGGATTAGAAACATTGGCATGACCATAATGGAACCACTGGCTGCAGTTGTTGGCTTCATTGACACCCGAGTATGCCCTGGTCCATGCATTTAATGGCTTGTCAAATTTCAGAATTTCCCTGGGCCATTTTTTTTGTCTTCTGTCTTTATATCTTGAGTGCGTTCTGTGCACTGTGTAAAAATGGCATGTATCCAGAATTTTTTCTACCTAACTTTACTTAATATACCTCCACATTCCTTTCTCTAAACCTTTCTCTTTCTAAAGTAAGATAGACCAAGTCCTTGTCTTCATTCTTGTTTAAAAAAAAAAAAAGCTTCTAATCCTTTCACTGTTGCTATCCTCTGGACCTTCTCTAACTTGCTTATGACACTTTGGAATGCACTTCACAGAACTGAGCACAAGGTATGTGATAAAACATGCCAAATAGTGTCCTTGATTTCCCCACTTAGAGGTACCTCATCCTTTTGAATAGCATCTTTTATTTTCCCCGGAGAGAGCTGATCAAATTCAAAACCCCAAAGCATGTGAGGAAAGTTTACCCTTCTAAGGGTTTACTATCTCATTCTGGTCTTAACTGAACTTTGCGGGAGATTCTGGCAGCCTGGTTCACAAAGCCCTTCTATTTTTTCCCATCATATGCCTACTTGAAGAAGGCAAAGAGGGTCCTGCAGCACCAAGATAATCTCTTTGCCAAGCATCAAGACCTGGTCTTCTACAGGCTCTTTGGACAAGTAGATAGAGAACTCACAGGCTAGATTCATTGTTAGTTTACTCTCTTAGGTGGATGGAGCTGCCCTAAAATGGGCAACGATTATACGTATAAACAGATCAGTTTGAGATCTGGTTGGAACTTGGGATGGGAATTTTTTTCTGTTTTTTTTTTCAATATTAATGTTTATTTTTTCAGAATGTTCCATGTGGGGGAAATGTCTAAGCAGCCTTTGCATTTGCTCCCCACCTTTCCATAATGTCCCTTGGCCATCATTTCTCATAAATTCCGTAGGTAGGCACTTGGCCTACTTTTTCACATGACCAAGTTGAAGAATAGTTTGAGTGAATGTTTGGGCTTAAGCTGCTACAAAGAGCAGGAACCATGGGGCAATAGGGGATGAACAAGGACCAGCATAAGATGACCAAGGAGGCTTTTTCTTTTTTCTCTTTTTTTCAAGTGTATATGCTGCTACTGGGCCCTGCCAACGTTCTGTATGTGCAAAGTCCTGGCTGTCCATGTGTTGCCATTGGGAGGCCCAGTAAGATGGACCAGTCTGTCCCTATAATGGGCCTGTGTATACTTAGAAATCCAGCAGAGAATGAGTGTGGCAGCCAGAAAGGGGATTTCATAATGCATCCTTGAGGCAATGAAATCACCAGGCTAGCCTCAACCAAGGAGGAAAATTTTTTAAATATAAAAACCATAGACACTCACTGACACCACATCTACATGTTTCAAATTGAGGCAGCAAATTACATGAATCCACCTGCCCCAAAAGAAAACAAACTTTTAACTGAACTATCAGATGGTTTTAGATGTATTCATTCTTGGAGGGTTTTTCCCAATAATTTCCCAATTCCCAGAATTGACTTCTCCACTTCATTTTGTTGATATCCAACCAATTTCAATGCATATTAATTGGCCAAATGGTTTGGCTTTTAGAATTGCTATTACATATTTAATTATGAGCCCTGCTAAAGTATCACTTGAGAATAATTCAACATCACCATGATCATTCTCCACATTCTCATAGGAGGTGGCCTCAGACTTTGACTGGTTTGGGTTCCAAATATCTGTCTATACTAATCAGAGAGGAAGCCTCAGAGTTGTCTTTCGCTTCTGCTTTCTGCCTGTTTGCTCATTTTGGGGGGGTTGGGGGAACATGGGGGGATGAGTCCGAGGTTTCAAGTCATCTTTAGTGGGTGGGGCATTCATTAATGTTTCACCAGCTGGCTGGGAGAGATGGGAAAAGGAAATCAATTCCTTTTTTTTCTGTAATAATGAAAAGCAATAATTGTGTAATGCTACACAAAGGCCATACATAACTAGTCTTTACCAGTGTTAAGGATGCACTAGAACTGTATTGTTTATTAGAGCAAGGTGGGAATGGTTAATATGTACTGTAGTATTCTTCTAAGCAAGCAAATACCAGAATTGCTACTATTTAACAATTTAATGAGCCCATACTACTGCATTCGGGGAAGGACAGACGTGTTTGGAACATGAAAGCAGTTCTCTTTAAGCACTGTATTAGAAAGATTGTCTTGTAAATTTTACCTGTTGCAAACAGGCTGGTTTGTAAAAGATGTATGTTTTGGTGTTTAAAAATGTTTATAAAAATGTATATAACGGTTTCAAATTTCCAGGCTTTTGTAGATACTGTATTTGATGCCTATCAGGATGCTTTAATTTGGGGGTCAGTTTCTAAATCATCTGAGTTATCAGTCTATAAACTTTTAAGATAATGAGAAAAAAAAGTTTTAGATTTGAAAATGATGCTTTTTAATCATTTCCAAAATGTACTGTAACCTTTCTTTGGTTCCGCTGTTTTCATTTAACTTTTTTCAGTTTTAAAGAAAATGTTTTTTATTGACTTTTTTTTAAATGAATGTGTTTTGCACAGATACTAGGTACATGATTTTTATGCCATTTCAAGTATGTATTAAAGTATGTCATTTCTTCACATACACATTATCTCTCATACACACAACCTTATGCAAAAGGGGAAGCTAACACTCTAAGTGGGTCTTGTCCCTTGTATGAAGATGAATTGTTCCTTCATATATTGCTGTTGGCAGTATTAAGTCTTGTGTTCTTTTCTTAAAAAATGAAGAAAAAAAGCAACAACCACAAAAAAATAGCCCAACAGTGTACAGGTTTGTAACTGCCAAAATTTGATGGTTAAAAACAAGTTTTCAAGTTAAAAAAAAAAGATTTTGTGTTGACTTTTTCTTTCTGATTTGCTGTCTTTTCATTTGCCTCATGCTCACAGCTCATAAGGGAGCCATTCACATTTTGCAGG